CCCCCCCCCCCCCATAATCTTAGAGGTACTGTCATCTCTTATCTATGTAGTGCTTTTTATTTTTCATTGTTCTTTCATGTATAGCAGTGCTTCTCAGCTATAGTTGAGTTTTTCACCCCATGCACTCCACCTCCACCGAGAATCATTTGGCAATGTCTAGAGACATTTTTGTTTGTCACAACTGGGGCTGGGGGAGAGATGCTACTGGCATCTAGTGGGTAGAGGCCAAGGATGCTGCTAAATGTTTTACGGTGTACAGGGTAATCCCCACAACAGGGAATTCTCTCTCTCAAAATACCAATAAGGCTGAGGTTGAGAAACCACAATGTAGAATACTTTACTTTTACTAATGACAACATTGTGGGATGTGTGTTATCTATATTATATATCAGGGCAAGAGATTTAAATCATGAAAAAGTTAGTGACAGAGGTAAAACTGCTGCTGGAACAGAGCTCTTTGCAATAGGCTATGCAGACTCAGAATTGTGTCCTGACAGAACTTTTAGGTAGATAACTGGCTGCCAGGGTGGCAGGCAGGCTCCTATCTAGTGTCAGAGTCAAATTTGAGACCTATTTCATACTTTAAACTTCTTAGAATATGCTGGTACCCAGCTGTCTCTAATCTAACACTCAAAATTGATGACTAGTTTAAAGAGGTTTAAAATTCACACCCCCTCACACATCAAAAAAACAATCCAGAAAAAATGAGGGCATATGCAGAAGAAATTTTTGTAATTCAGCCTACAAGGCAAGTCATTAGCCATAGGGAAAGTCTGATTTGGAGGTAAAACTGTGCAGTTAATATCTCATAAGATTCTAACTCTCCCTGAAGGCTTATCTGATTACAGACATTTTCCAGAAATTTCTTAGCCTAGTTCATTCTCCATCTTTAATCACCATTCTCAGAGCCACTGGTTTAAAAGCTTCTGAGAAAATCAGGCTTCTAACAGGTAAATCATAGTTTAACGGCACCATTAGGTTTTTTGTAGATGCTGGGTATGTGACTTTTAGACAGTCTCTCATTCCTTCTTGACCCTTTATTGCAGCTTGGGTTTTTCTTAGAAAAATAGAAGAAATATGATTTAGTCACAGGTGTATTACTTCACCACCATCCCTGTCACCCACATTTTCTGAACTAGCTATCATCTTGATCTGGGTTTGAACTAGACCTGGGTTTGAACTTGACCTAACTGACAAAAGCTGAGCCTACTTAAAAATCAAACTAGTATCTTGCGTTTGAGAAGCAACATGTTACCTGGAAGTTAGTCCATCACAAATCACCAAATCTGTTCTCATTCTTTTCTTCTAGCTGTTGTCTAGCAGGTCGTGCCTATCCCCTTGGTGACATCCCAGAAGATCTTGTTCCTTTGGTTAAAAACCAGGTTGGTCCTATTTTCACAGTATTTTTACCATCTACACCTCTTGTTAAGGTGCACTAAAGACAGTTGTATTGAGGGTTACACGTGGGGCAGGAGCAGTCTATTAGCTCTAACAGGAGAGAGCCTGCACATCATCACTGAAGCCAATAATTATAACAGAAGTTCTAACATAGTGGCACTTTAAAGTAAATTCAACCTGCCTTTATTTTACCCAAATGGGATTCAGTGCTTCAGCAAGATACTTTGTGAGGTGAGAAAATAATCAACTTTTTTCCCCCAACTTGGCAGGTTTTTGAATTTCTAATTCGCCTGCATTCAGCAGAAGCTTCCCCTGAGGAAGAAATCTATCCCTATGTTCGGACTTTGCTACATTTTGACACACGAGAATTTCTAAATGTATTGGCACTGGTAAGAGATAACATGATTTTAAAGTGTTTTAAAAGCCAGGGTGATAATATTTTTAATAGAAAGAAAGACAAATAATAATCCTTATGCAGGTACTATTTTTATGTCCTAGCAGTAAGTGAAGGTTTCAAATGTTTAATTTTGTTGTGTCACCCAATATTTTCTAGTTCTTTATCTCCCTTCCTTTCTTCCCCCCCTTCTTTCTCTCCTTTCCCCCTCCTCCTCTGCCTTTCTCTCTCTCTCTGTCTCATTTGCTCTTGTCTCTAACACATTCTTATCAAAAAGTTGAAGAAAGCAGGGTTAAATGTGGTGCATCTTTGATTTCATAAGTCATATTAGTTGGCATACTGAACATGGAAGATGGCTCTAAAGGACAGGTGGTAGTGATGATAGTTGAAATGGAGCATGGATGTTTCCTGCTGAAAAAAATATCTTTATATATGTTTAATTAAAGATGGATCTGGGTGAGATAGGTTTTCTGTGAAAATGCCCCCCAGAGGAATAATTATATAAAACGTATCATATCTTCCCCACCCCCCAAGTAGTATTGTAGTTGTTTTTTGAAAGCTTTTGATCAAGCACAGACAGTGCTTACATTATAATGTTTAGTGAAGTATCAGGCTCACAAATGTATAAAACCCAAATATTGTATATGCACAATATTTGAAGAAAGATGGGAAGGAAGACACAAATATTGCATATGCACAATATTTGGAAATATAATACATTTAAATCTGTGAGATGGGGCAAATTTCTCTAATGAATATAAAGTATTTTTATAAAGGAATAATATAATAAACTGTTAAAATAAAAAAAGTAAGTGCCCATGAGGAGATCAACTTTCCAATTATATCATACTTTGAATTAGTTTAATTTGAAAATCTTACTTCAGAAGTAGTAACTTTAATTGCATGGGAAGAAGGGAAAAGAAACTTAGGATTGGAAGTCAGACCTAGTTGGTTTAGGAAACCTTAGACATCCAGAAAGCACAAGGGAACTTGGTGTTTGGCATGTAGGGGGGAAAAAAAAGACAGGAAGTGTGGGGCAGGGGCTTCGGAAAGAATGGTAGAGAACAAAAAAGAATTTTACCTAATTTTCTTTTTTTTTTTTAAATATATCTTTATTGATTTCAGAGAGAGGAAAGGAGAGGGAGAGAGAGAGAGATAGAAACATCAATGATGAGAGAGTCATTGATCGGCTGCAGCCCGCAACCTGGGCATGTGCCCTGACCAGGAACAGAACCCCAATCGCCTGGATCCTAGGTCGACGCTCAACTGCTGAGCCACAGCTGACTGGGCTAATTTTCATTTTTAAATGAAAATTCCACTGACGATCCTTTGGAATTATTAGAATTATAATGTCCATGCTGAGCCGCAAAGGATAAGTAGAAGATAGTCAGGTTAGGGTTATGGGGAAATACTCTAGGCAGAAGGGTAGAATATGTGAAAGGGCCTGGAAACAAGACAGAGCAATATGTGTTTCAAAGAAGTGGGGGGAAAAAATCAGTATGGTCACATCTTTAAGTGTAAGGAAGCCTTAGAGACAGACAAATCTGTAGAGATGGATAGAGACTCAATATTATTATTCATGGTAAGAAGTTTGGGCTTTGTACTAGAGTAGTAGATGGCCATCGAAGCCTTTTAAATAGAGGAATATCATGATTTGTAGTTCAGAGAAATTCCCTCTGTCCGTTGTATGAAAAATGGATTAAAATAAGATAAAATTGGAAGCAAGAAGATCTGTTAGCAAATTTTTGTAGTAATCCAGATAGAATATAATGATGGCTTGACTTTGGCAGTGACAGTGGGGATACTAAGATGTGAAAGGATTTGGAAGATACTTTAGGAGGCGAATTGGCCTAACATTTAGGGCTCATTGTACACTTGGATGTGAAAAATAAGACAAATGGGGAATCATCAAAGATTCCCAGGTTTCTGACTGGGTGAACTGAAGGTATGGTGGCTTATTTGTGGATTCAGTAGGGGATCAGAAGAGAAACAAGTTTCTCAGGAGATGGGGTGGAACGAAAGGTAGATAATTAGTTCTCTTTTGACCATAAAGAATTTGAAATGCCTAAGAGACAAGTGGAGGTTTTTTTCCATGTGTGCATCCAGTGTTGGCTGCATCCCCATGTTCTAAAGCTGGAGAAATGGATAAGGCCTGGGCATTAAACCCTGGATTCATTGTCTATTATGTTTACCATAATTGATTTAATCATATGACCTTCGTAATTCAGTTAATATAACTTAATAAAAAACATTTTCAGAGAGACAAAAAAGAATTTAGGTGAGATTTTCAAACCACATTTTCCCAGTTTTTTTAAATTTAGGGACATTTTTTTCAAGTAAGGTTTTTAAATTTAGCTTTCTTGAGGTATAATTTGTACAAAATATAATTCACCCATTTCCAAGAGAAGAACTTGACAAATGTATGCAGCCTCGTATCCACTATTACAGTTTAGGTATAGAACATTTCCATTACCCCCAAAAGGTCACTTACGCAGTTTGTAGTCAGTCCCAACCCCAGTCCATGACAACTACTGATCTGCTTTCTGACACTGTAGTTCTGCCTTTTCTAGAATATCATTTAAATAGAATCATACACTTTGTAGTTTTTTTGTCTAGCTTCCTTCACTTAAAATAATGCTTTTGAGATTTATTCACGTTGTTGCTTGTATCAATAGGTTTTTCCTTTTTATGGCTGTGTAATTTTCCATTTTATGGATATTCAGTCTTTTGATCCTTCACCAGTAGATCGTCCTTGGGGTTGTTTTCAGTTTTAGGGTATTATGAATAAAGCTATTATGAATATTTACATTTAGGCCTTTGTGAGGACATATATTTTTATTTCTCGTGAGTAAATACCAAAGAATGGTATTGCTAAGTCATTTATTAAGTATATTATTTTACTTCATAAGAAATTGACAGTTTTCTGAATCAGTTGTACATTCCTACCAGTAGTATATGGAGATTATTAGTTCTTTCATCTTCTCACCAACACTTGATATGCCCATCTTCAATGTCTTTTGAAGAGAAGAAGTTTTACATTTTGATCAAGTCTAATTTATCAGTTTTGTTTTATAATCATGCTTTTGGATTCATGTCAAAGAAATATTTGCCTAACTCAAGGTTGTAAAGATTTTATCTTATGTTTTCTTCTAGAAGTTTTATGATTTTAGGTTTTACGTTTAGATCTGTGATCCATTTCTAAGAAATTTTTGCATGTGGTACAAGGTTTAGATACAAATTTTTTTTCTTTCTTTTTGCATATGGATATCGAACTCTTAGGGCATCATTTGATGAAAAGACTATTCTTTCTCTACTGAATTGTCTTTGTACTTAGAGATCTGTCATCTATGTATGTGTGGGGTCTACTTCTGAACTCTATGTCATTGATTTGTCTCTCTTAATTACAATACCACACTGTCTTAATTACTGTAGCTGTATAATGAGTACGGAAATCACATTATGTTAGCACTCCCATGGTTTTGTTCTTTTTCAAAATTGCGTTGTCTTTTGCTTTTCAATATGAATTTTTAGAGTTATCTTGTTTTTCTGTCTCTACAAAAGCCTGCTGGGATTTTGATTAGGATTGTGTTCAATGTTTAGTCAATTTGAGGAGAATTGACATCTTAGCAATATTGAGTTTTCTGACCCATGAAAAGGTATATTGTTCCATTTATTTAGGTCTTTAATTTTTGTCAGCAATATTTTGTAGTTTTCAGAGTGATGAAGACGCAATGTAATGTTTCCTCTACTATTGTACAATTTAAAATTTTTGATAAATTAAAATAAAAATCACCTCCCTCTGATCTTGCTTTGCACACGGCTGTCAAGATAATTGACATCAACCAGATTTTTCTTAACTTTCCCAAGGACTTAAGTCTTTTTTCTAGAGGACCAGAATACATTTTTCCATATATTTAGAAACTAATAGTTTTACTCTAAGATATCACTTAGAATTGACTGTTCTGGTTCAGTTTTACCATACAAGGTTGGGCAAAAATAGGTTTATGGCTGTGGGTACTTGAAACCATTTATTCTTGTATTATTATTTATTTATTATTGTATTATTTATTATTATTATTAACCTACTTTTGCCCACCCTTGTACATACTGTGGGCCCTTTTAGTATGTGAATTTGAGTCTTTATTTCAAGGAAGTTTTCTTGAATTATAGATTTAAATACTTTTTCTGCTTCATTACTCTATATTTCATCTTCAGAAACTCTAGATATTTGAATAGTGTATCTTCTTTATCTTTTATAGTTATCAGCTTTTCTCTGATCTCTTTTATTTTCTTCTTTGTTTAAATTTCATTTTCATGTTTCATTTATCTTCTCTACTTCTCTTACTGTGCTTTTGATCATATCTGTTCTCTTTTGGGTAGCTTGTAATTGTCTTCATTTCTGAGATGAATTTGTCCTTTTATTGAGGTTTTTTTTCCTTTCTTGATTTTAATTAGTTTCTATTTCATATCTTCCTACTCTTTGTTCAATTCTTTTTTGAATTCTTAAATTTCTGGTTCGTGATGTTCTTTCAGATCTGCAATTGTATGTTTAGATGTATTTAATATATGTCGGGATATTATAGTTTGCTTAATTTTATGGCCACTTTATATTTTATTTCATTCTAGAGTGCCTTCATATGCTGTTTTTATTCCCATTTTTTGACAGTAATAGATGACCTTATTGGAGGGTGGGGGAAAATTACCTCCTGGCTTTCCTACTTCATGCATCTTCTTCATTTGCTACAGTTAAGTGTAATTTCTTAAATAAATAGTATCTTTTGAGGGTAAGTGATCTTCTCAATATTTAACGTTGTTTTGTTTTAGTGGATCCTCTATCTTGAGCCACTTCCTTCTTTACCATAAGCCTCCAAGGAATATTTCCCCCTTTCAAGGTACCTCCCTCTAGCCCAAATGCATGTCTTACTAAGACCTCTTATCCACACTTGCCAGTCCCCTTCCTTTGACCTTCCTATTAGCTTGTGGTCTGACCCACCAGGTCTTTGACCTGATCTCAGTATTTCCTCACCCAGAGTGGATTCTTTTTGCTATTATAGGTGTTCTGCTACCACCAAAACCTTGTCCCACCATCCTTTCTTCTACCCAACTTAGTCTTGACTTGTCTTTGGTCTTAAGGGCTTTAGAACCAACTCTGCTAATTTGGGATGTTTATTTTCTCAAGTCGATTTTATGTAAGTTGAAGTTTGTGGTATTGATTTTCCTTCTAGTTTTCCCATTAGGCTGGGTTGTGGGTGATTGATTGTTTTTGCTCTTTTTCTTTTTTTAAATCATCATACAGGGATCTTGTTGGAGGGTGTGTGAAGATATTAGGACAGGGTCCACAAACTTCAGCCTGTGGATCAAATCTAGCTCTGGTCTGTGAGAGCTAAGAATATATATATATATATTAAGATATCTTTATTGATTTCAGAGAGAGGAAGGGAGAGGAAGAGAGAGAGGTAGAAACATCAATGATGAGAGAGTCATTGATCTGTTGCAGCCCGCAACACGGGCATGTGCCCTGACCGGGACTCGAACCCCAATCTCCTGGATCCTAGGTCGATGCTCAACTGCTGGGGCAAGAATATTCTTTACATTTTTAAGGGTTATAAAAACAGAAGAATATGTGATAGAGATTGTATGTAGTCTACAAAGCCTAGAGTATTTTCTCTCTGGCCCTTTACAGAAATTGTTTGTTTACCCCTTGATTAGGATTTAGCCACCTATCATTATCTTATAGAAACCCTATATATTTAAGGGACCACAAAAGAAGTTCTTATGACCAAATTCACAGATGACTTTGGACTTGAGTTTTAGGTCTTCCTTTGTGCTTCACAAACTCCGTTAGGATGTCTTTGCATATTAGTACTCTAACAAGTATTGTATAATTAGAAACATTTTTGTGGAATGATAATGTTTTAACAATGATGTGCCATTTTTGGTGGCAGCTGTTGACTACAGTCAAAATATTTCATTGTTGCCCAGCCAGGTGTGGCTCAGCGGTTAAGTATCAACCTAGGATCCAGGAGATTGCTGTTCGATTCCCGGTCAGGGCACATGCCCAGGTTGCAGGCTTGATCCCCAGTTGGGGGTGTGCAGGAGGCAGCCGATCAATGATGACTCTCTCATCATTGATGTTTCTATCTCTCTCTCCCTCTCCCTTTCTCTGAAATCAATAAAGATATATTTTAAATATATATATATACACATATATATTACAGATATATGTGTGTATATATGTATATATAATGTATATATGTCATTGTGCCCTGGCCAGTATCGCTCAGTCGGTAGAGCATCGTCCCGTGCACCAAAAGGTAGCCTCTTCCAATCCCAGTCAGGTCACATGCCCAGGCTGGGGTTCAGTCCCCTCGTTCGGGTGTGTAGGAGGCAACCAATTGATGTCTCTCTCACATCGATGTTTCTCTCTCCTTCCCTCTTCCTTCCTTTCTCTCTAAAATCAATAAAAACATATAATTAAATTTTAAAAAAATATATGTTTATGTAGTATATCACCACTTAATTATATGTGCAGAAGTAAACTTTCAATATCTATTTCAAAGCAGTGAATACATTCTGCCAAAAGGAAAATGGATAAGGAAATTATTTTTTACTTCCTTTACTGCTGTAGTTTTATAATATATATATTTATTCTCCATGGTTTTGTGTTTTAGTTGAATAGCACTTATATTAGCAGACAGCAACTTCTGTTTGTATCTGCAGAGTCTCACTTTGGCAGGCAGGGGTGGGAGTATGGTATGTGAGTGTGTGCATGTTTGTTTTTCTCATAAACATAGGATAGACCCGAGAGGCTTTCTAGTCCATCTTTCTGTCTTTAGGTAGGATTTAACCCACTTGAACAGCATGATATTTTCTATTTTCTGTTTGAGCTTTACAGAATAAGAGTTCCTACAGTCTCCTTGATAACTTGATAATTTTAGCATTTCTCAAATAAGTGGCACCAAAGTGGTCTAGCTGAGGAAATAGATTTTTTTTTTTTAAGATTTTAGTTTTCTCTGTAATTAACTAGGCAAATCAGCAGTACTTTGTTTAAAGTGCTTACTGTGTGTCAGACAGGAGAAAGGAAGGAAGGGCATGCTAATAAGAGACCAGCATGAGCAAGGTACTTTGGGGAAGTTGGAGAAGTTCTGGGCCCATTTGAAGAACAGCAAGTATTCTGGTTTGAGTGTAACTATGATGTAATCTTGAAAGTTCATGGCTGTGAAATTCCTTTTTTTTTTTAAAAGTCTATTGGCATAATATGGAGTCTATTTTCTTATTTCAGGAAAATAAGTAGAATATTATTGCTATGTGAATTTAAACATTTCAAGAGCCACATGTTCTAAGTGAAAACCATAGGAAAGCTCTTCAAGTCTCTCATCATTTTTATTATTCAATAAATAATTTTATTTAAACTTTTTGATATGAATACACTTTTAATTCCTTCATATATGTGTCCTCTAGGTACTAGGTATTTTCAGGATCAGGTGCTGTCATTTACTTTAGTGCATGTTCTCCTCAAATAACATTTGGCTCTACTTGAGCAGGGACATAAAATAAAAAGTGCTACACTTGACAGTGTTTTGAAAATATGATACCTATTCCTTGTGCATAGGCTTGAGTATTTTAACATTGCAGCAGTTTTGCCATAATAATTTTTTTCATAAATATCTACCTTTGAACATCATTTTTTCTTAGTTGTCATAACAGTTATTTTTCATGACAGTTGATAAAGTGTATTTCTAGATAGCAATAGCAGAGCAGTGGCTGAGAGTGCAGCGTTACTTCCTCCTTCTCACAGCCTTGCTCAGGAGTTGCCTCTTGCCACAGTGTTCTTCCTTTTTCATTGCTGTAAACTTTGCCTTTCTTTCTCAGATCACTTTATCATTGTATGATGATCGCAATATTTTATACTTTTTGTCTGCTTTAAAGTCTCAGAATACCATGAAATATTAAATGTTATATCTTTCTACTTAACTCACTACAAATACCTTCTTATTAAAGGCAGATAAGGAAAAGCTTGATGAGGAATGATTACCTTATTTGAGAATTGACCTATTAATAAGAATTTAATATCCTGTTGCCTTCTAAAACTTTTAAATAATCATTATTTTTTAAAATTTCTCCCTCTTAGACTTTTGAAGATTTTAAAAATGACAAGCAAGCTGTAGAATATCAACAACGTATTGTGGATATATTGTTGAAAGTAAGTTTTTAAAGAATACTTGCCTTTCTATTCACTCTTTTATTAAGAAAATTGAATTGTTTTATAGCAAGTTCTAAAATAATCTTGTTTAATGAAGCGATATGTTGCAATCATTTAAAAATTTTATTATGATGTCTTTCCCTTCAAAGATGAACAAAATACTAATCATTCAAAAAATTTAATGTATCTTGGCTTTAGACTCTATACTAGGATACCTGGTAGTATTCTTGAGAATTGCATATTGTGATCATTGCTATGTTAGTATGATTACATGCAATAATAGAGACTGACTTCAGAGTGCTTTGAAAAAAAAATGTGAAGACTCTCCCTTTGTTTCATACCAACATCACTGTGTTGCTAAGGTAGTGCCATAGTTTTACCATGGTACTGAGATGATAGGTAACACTTAAGAATGATTTGAGGCACACAGAGATGATCATCCCAGTCTAAATCTAACTAGATTAAGTCCAAAGCTATTTTGATATTCATGTCGTTGCTAACAAATGAATGCAGAGACAGATTGTTTTCCTTTCCATCTGTACAGCTTTAACCAGGCCAGTTTCTTCTTGTAATGGAAAGCCTAGATTTTTGTCCTGTTCATTTAGCTGTGAAATGGAGATTTATTTCTCATAGTGACTTTTAGATTATTTTGGACCAGAGAACAATATGAAAATGCTCTCTAGTTGTGCATAACATTAATACATTACATTTGTAATAGTTCTTTATAATTTCCAAAGCACGTTGATATACATTATGTCATTTGAGCTATTTATTGATCTTGTAAGATAGGCAGTGGTGAATATGAAACTAGGATTGCTAAACTCTCAATAATGCCACTTTGATCCAGGTGGCTAGTATAGAGAATTTTTACCTGGATTTCCAAAATACCTTCCTAAATGGTCTCTGTATGTAATCTTGTCTTCCTCTGATTTGTGATTTTGCCTTTCCTCTACCTAACATTCTTCTATGGCTCCACATTGGATCAGTTGTAATTAAGTTCTGCTATGAGAGAAAAATTCAAATAACAACCATGTAATTTTGAAGGGAATTTACTTTTTCCATATAAGTGTGGAGGTAGGCAACCTGATCTAGTAGATTAGTCTTACAAACTCTCAGGGATGCAGGTTGTCTTTCTTACTGCTCTCATTTTTAGTACATGGTTTCTGCTTTTGGTCCAAAATGGCTGCTCGGGCTCCAGCCATCATCTTTGCATTCTAGCTAGCCAGAATGCAGAAGGAGATGAAGAAGACAGTGTTCCCTCTCTTTAAGAAAATTTCTCAGAAGTTGTGTACTACAATTCTGCTTATATCATGTTGATCAGAACTTAGATATATGACCCCTTAGCTGCTAAGAGAAACTGAGAAATGTACTTTGTATTATGGGTGACCATGTATTTAGCTAAAAATAAGGAACTCCTTTACTAAGTTAGGAGGAAAGAACAGATGTTGGATCACAAGTACTAGTTACTGCCATAGCCATCTAAACTGTTTATGACATCCAAGACCTTTCTATGTTTTTTGGTCCCTGACTACTACTCTGTAACTGCTTCCCTCTCCTACCTTTCCACACATATGTATACTCGACGTGTCTCCTCTTTCTGTCGTATCTTTTGCACCTCTTCCTCCTTCCCTTTTCATTGTCACTGCCTTAGTTCAGGACCCCTTTGTGTTTCCCCTGGACCCCCGCAGTCACTTGCAATTTGGTCTGCCTTCTATTTCTTCTGTTATTTTATCCTATACACTGCTGACAGGATAATTTTCCTAAGCACAGTACTGATCATGATCAACTCTCCTGGTTGAACACCTTTAGTAGCTCCCCAGTTTTCTATGGAATACATTCTAGATTTTTTAGAATGACATTTGAGGCCTAATCTTTTCTTTTGATCTAATTTAATTTCTCCTTGCTCCTCATGCATGCTACTACATTCTAATGGAACACAGTTTCTCCAAACAATCTCATATTTTACTGCGCTCCTGCTTTCACTCACATTGTTTTCTCTGATTGGATTGCACTCTCTCCTGACATTTTCCCCTGTCACAGATTCCACCTGGGCTTTAAAGCTTAGTTTAAAAGCTACTCTTCTCATTTCTTTTCAGTTCACTCTCTAACCACTTGAACTAAATTTCCCCCACTGTTATTCTGTAGTTATTTGTTCCTTTATAATAGTGCTGATAACACTGTGCCTTTTATTTAAGATTTATTTACCTGTCTCACCCATTTATAATTCCCTTTAAGGCATCTCCCATAGCATCTTTCACATAGGAGGTACTCAGGAGAGGAGAGCTTACTTAAAGCAGAGGAATGATTATGATTTGATAACTGTGTGTGGTTGTAAAAAGCCCATTATGTGAAACCATGTGTTCAAGAAACTGCCTATAGACAAGGAGAACCCTTTTGGGGAGATACCTTTACTCTTAAATCTTACTTTTAAACCCCAAAGCAACTCCCTTCTTCCTGTGTTGATGGGCAGATTTTTAGTAGGGTTATTTTAATTTAATTTAAATTAATTTTAGTAGGATTCTCTTTTAAGACTTCAAGTGGGAAACATGATTAATATACCTCTGAAAGTTACCTCTCTAACAATTCACTTTTCATCCGAGTTGTGCCTAGAAATATCCTGAAAATCACTAAAATGCTCTCTTTTCAGAGTATGCAAGCAGTTGTGCTCTTTCTCTAATTGGTATTGAACTCAATTGTTGCACAGTCAACAAAAGAATCTTTTTATGAGTCTTCAGTTATGAGACTCCCCCATCTCTTATAATTGTATATTTTTTGTGTCAAACCAGATGGTGTATTGAATAATGGTCTCTTTTGCTCATCAGGTTATGGTGGAGAATTCAGATTTTACTCCCTCACAAGTAGGGTGTCTCTTTACATTCCTTGCCCGGCAGCTTGCAAAGCCCGACAATACCTTGTTTGTAAACAGAACCCTTTTTGATCAGGTGAGTGTCTTCAACAGTGAGAGCTAGAATTGTTTTTATTCTATTACTGTTCATAGAAAAGTTCACTGGATTACATAGTTTCTAAATATAATAGCCAATTGGATAAGTGTCTTATCAGGGAGAACCTGTTCTGGTTTCAGTTTAGATCTTATTTAGTTGTTGGTGGTGTTTTTTAATGATGTGTCTAGATAGTATGACTTTTTCTAGTAACCTGGTATCATGAGAGTGTGGTTTGTGGAGATTAGTTTATAGAGATTCTGTTTTCTCAATTCTGTTGCTCCAAATTGCCTAGATTTCTTTGCTCAAGACTTTGCCAATTTTGGAATCACCCATCTCACTCGTCGTAAGACTATGATGTTGATCATCTGGAAGAGAGAGTACTTTTAGAAAATTTGAATGTATATACTTACAAATGACTTTGACTCTGAAAGGTATCTCCTAATCCCAGTTAAAGAGCTTCTCCATATCCACACGTGGCAATGAAAACAGTTTTTTATCTGCAGATAGGTGCTAATAATGACTAGCATTTATAATGCCAGGCTCTGTTCCAAAGTTTTATATGTGTTTATTTATACAATGCTCCCTATGGTTCTGAAATTGATATAGTTGTTACCCCATTTTACAGATGAGGAAACTAAAGCCTGGAGAGGTTAAATTACTCATCCAAGGTCATACTTAATAGTGTTATTATTAGCAATAAATGTTATTATTAAGTGTTGATAAGGTTAGAATTCAAATTTAAGTCGCCTGACTCCAAAGTTCATGTGTTGCTTGGTCCATGATGTCAGGGATCTTAAAGTTAAGGTATATAGATGGTGCTGCCTTCCATCATATTTCTAAACAGTAAAGAAATGTGTGTAAGGTACATGTTAAATAGTAGCATACCTGAAAACCTCCTGTGCCATTTACTAGGCCAATCAATTAGGAAGATACCATATATCTGTGGTATTTTTTTATGGCCAAGTGTGATTGAATTGGTGTGATAGAGAGAGTAGTTGCTGTTTTCATTGACAGTGTGATGGCATGCATGCTGGTATCCAATGAAAAATACCTTTTCTTTGACCAGGTTCTTGAATTCCTCTGTAGTCCTGATGATGATTCCCGACACTCTGAAAGACAGCAGGTATGAGCTACTGGAACTCCCTTTGCTTAAGAGTGGGAGAGAAGGCAGAGTAAGACAAAAAACTCTTCTGTGCTAGACTTCATGAGGCATAAGGGGAAAATGAGTTGTGCCAAATCCTAGTACTAAGCTAGATAGCGGCAACCAGAAAATAGTGTGGATGGTTGTTAGAAGTACCTTATATCACACTAAGTTTCTAGGAGACTGGACCTGTCTTGCATTCAACATGACATCAAAGAGAATACCTCATCCTTCTCTGGTTACGGCAGCAGTTGGCACATGTTGTAATGGGCTTTCCACCAGTGTCACTAATCTGATAGCCACTCCTAGCTGCTATGGTCCTGAACCAGAAAACCTGCAGAATACTGAGTCTTAGGACACTCAGCTTTTGGGAGTGCCCTCTAGCCCCACGGCATTAAGAGCTAACCATTTCTGGAGACTAGAATTCCTCTGTCCCTCCACTAATTGCTGTGAAGGGATACAGTATTTGAGTACCACTTCATTCTACTTATGCCACTTTCTTTTGGGTCCCTTCTAAGAATAGGATTCTTTAAAAGTTTGCCTATTATAATTGTGAACACCAAGTCAACCTATTTAAAATTTATTGCCAGACTTTTGTGAGATAAAATTAAATACTTTGATAGCTATGCTGATTTTTTATGGTAATGGTGCACAGCTTGGAGGCTGAGACTCAGATAAAAAACATGGGATAGCAACAGTGACCCCTTTTTCTGCACAACTGTGGCCCGGTGACTGCTGCAGACTATCTCAGGGAAGAGAACAGCTGCTAAAATTTTGGTTATCTTTTAAATTATATTGAATACAAATAGTAATGGGGACACCTCATTTTGCCCATTTCTCTTCTTGCAGGAAAAATGGATCATGATATGCATGGTGTTACTATATAAAATGATTAAAACTTTTTATATGAGTAACAAAATTAAATAGAAATAAAAATCTAAATGCAAAAGCCAAACCTTGAAAAGTAATTATCATATAGTAATATTCTATTTTTAGGAGTCCCCTTTGAGATTATCTAGTTTCTTTTTCTACTCATTTTAGAAATAGAGAAAACTGATAAAGTAAGTTGCTCAAGGTCACAACTAAGATTAGAACTCAATTCCTTCCCTTCTAATCCAGCACTCTTTGCCTCAAACAGTTTATTATATATCAAAATTTGTTTTTGCAATATTTGTTAGTATTTTCCGGTGGAATGCTGATAAAAGTTTAACAACTGGCTCCTCAAGTGTAGTTTTAATATGAATGTTGGTTGATATTTCATTTACCTAAATGAATAAGATGAAAGTGCAGCGGTGAAAGCCTGTCAGAACTTCACTCATTTGCCAGTGAAGTGACTTTTTTGCTGAATCACATAACAGTTTTTGAAAACTAAAAAAAAATGCCTTAATTTTTTATAATATTCGCATTGTAGTGACTATGACATCCACACTTTTAAGTTTGATTACCTCTTTGATATTATCTCCATCACTTTCTTAACCAAAGATTGGCAAAGGTTTTCAGTATAGGGCCAAAGAGTAAATATTTTAGGCTTTGTGGACCACATATGGTATCTGTCACATATTCTTCTTTGATTTACAACCCTTTGAACATGTAAAAAGCCCTGATTTACAGAATTTGCCAGTTTCCATGGTGTCAGTACTCCAACCATTTCAGCCTACCAACATGATGTCACTCAGCATAGAGTTGGAGGGAGCTGCATAGTGCAACACCCTCATGTAATATTTCCCTGTACAGATTCAGTTACAGTAACTAACCTCAAGAGCAGACATAGTAAAATGTAGTAAAATAATTAGAAAGTGGTGAGTTTTGGATATTAATTACCTTTGTTTTTTATTAATTTAATTATAAGGTTATATAACTTAATTTTTAACAATGGCTGTGTTTAACAACTGACTTACAAAATTCCTGAAAATTTAACTGGCTCCAGCAATGGCATTTCTATTATGTTATTTCAAATTGAGGCTTCCAGCAGATGGAGTTGACTCTATCGTTGTTTTATATAACAGTACATTATAATACTCAAAATGGATTAAATTAGGGCTCTAACATGTAAAGTTTGGATAGCTTTTATTTATTTTCTGCATTTAAAAAAAAAAAATCCTATGTTAGAAAAGTGCTTTATTAAATGTTTTCCTGGAGTTCTCAGTAGGGTCATGTTACTCTGGATCTTGAACTTCAATACCAGAGAGCTTTTCTCACATTGCTCTAATGACTGTGTAATGATTCTATTGTATTTTGAGGTTTATTTACATATATTGACTAATCTATCACAACATCCTAGTCACCTTTTTTATTCAGCTACTTTGTTTGGTAAACTTATTTATAAGGATCCCAGTGGGATTTTGTTGTTGTTGTTTTTAATCCTTACCCGAGGATATGTTTTTATTGATTTTTTTAGAGAGAGGTGGGGGCGTTGCAGAGACCGGTTGCCTCCTGTATGCAACCTGACCCAGGATCGAACTCACAGTCTAGATATGTGTTCTGACCGGAAATCGAACATGCAACCTTTTGGCACACAGACGATGCTCTAGCCAACTGAGCCACCCAGTCAGGGCATGAACCCCAGTGCTTGTTTTTTATTGTGGTAAAATATACATACCATAAAATTTGAAATTTTAAATGTACAATTTGGTAGCATTAAGTATACTGTCATTGTTGCACAACCATCGCCACCATCCATCTCCAAGGCTTTATCTTCCTAAACTGAAACTTAAACAATAAGCCCCATTACCCCCTCCCCCAAGCCCTGGCAACCACCATTCCACTTTTTTGTCTTTGCAAATTTGACTACTTTAGGTACCTCATATTAGTGGAATCATAAAGTAATTTTTGTGTGTGTGACTGACTTATTTCACTTAATATTTTTAAGGTTCATCCATATTGTAGCATGTGTCAGGATTTCATTCCTTTTTTAAGCTGAATAATTTTCCATTATATGTAAATACCACATTTTGTTTATCCATTCATCCATTTATGGACATTTAGGTTGTTTCCACCTTTTGGTTCTTGTGAATAATGCTACTATGAAAAGCACCAATGTTTCCTTAGAAAAAATAACATGTAAACATGAATGCTATCTGTGGACTGTAAGACATAAAGAACCATAAGAACTGTAAGACATAAAAGCTCTAGACAAAAATTCACTTCTTGAAAGAATATATATGAACATTTTTAGCTAAGTGGATGATCAGTTAGGTATTCTAATAAGGCTTTATTTGCAAACGCTGTGACATTCCTTCCATGTTTGAAAAATAGAGCCATTAATCCTTTTGTAAGACTTAAATACAAAATGATCAACATTATAATGGTAGTCTAACCTGTTATATATGTGAAAGCCAAGCTAAAACATCAGCAAGTAATAAGACAAAAGAAAAAAATTATGGTTTTTGAGGCTGAATGGACTCTTAAAGAGCTAGTAAATAAAAGTAGATTGCAAAGTTTTTTGCTCATTTATTTTAAATGTTCAGGTCCTTTTAGAATTGCTGCAGGCTGGAGGCATAGTTCAATTTGAGGAGAGTCGGCTCATCCGTATGGCAGAAAAAGCAGAGTTGTAAGTTGTTTTGAAGTTGTCATATATTAGTTAGTACAACTATTAAATTACATTCCTGTAACTTGAAGCCCAGTTTATCACTGCATTGCCATTTCTTTAAATTAAGAAAAGCTATGCAAATATCAAAAAAATGTAAGCGTGAAAGTTGTGCCTTTTAAGTCTAGAAATTAGTAAAATTTTCAGAAACTTACAAGGAGTAAATTTGAAGTACTTGTACATTTGTTTTAGTATAAAAATGAAATAACAGTCTTATGATTTATTATTTTAGTTTTTTTCACTTACAGTATCCATGGTATTTTATAGATTTTGATTTTATATATATTATAAACAGTGCAGAATTTAACATAGCAAATAGGATGGAATATGTTAGCTCTACTATTTATCCATATTTTTAATATTTCATTTGACATTTAATTCTGAACAGAGAAACTTCATATAATTAATTGATATCTAATATATTAACTATTTTTGTGGCATATGTTGCTGGAACATTTATTTTGTACTCAGTTTTGAAATTTCATATAAACATAGTATTCAGCAGCATATTAAACCTTGTTTAGAGGAATGGCATATATTCATCCCCTTAGATACTATAACTTCATTCAATAGTAAAAATAGCACTTACTATATTTATTTTTCTTAATTCTAACCTCTGCCTGAGAAAACTTTTTGAAACAATAAGCTAATAACCACATGCCTTCTTGGTACACTGAATTATTTCCTTTTTTGTTCTAGCTATCAAATTTGTGAGTTTATGTATGAACGAGAACACCAATATGACAAAATTATTGATTGTTACTTACGTGACCCACTAAGAGAGGTGAGTTAAGAGACTGCTTACCCTTTTTTCTTACTATTTCCCTCCAGTTCCCCAATGAGTAGAAATAGCTATTCAGTATGTATAACTATTCAGTAGAAATATTTGGACATGTGTTTACTAATTCAGGTTTTCATTGATTCAGTAGGTTTTCATTGATTCAGTCGGTTTTTATTGAGTGCCTGCTATTATGCAAGTAAACATTGATAATTAAAACAGATATAGTTCTTGCAATTTAAAAACTTACAGTTTAGTAATGGAGACTAACAGTGAGAAACCAAATATGCAATTACAAGTTGTCATGAGCACTAGAGAAGACAAATTGGGTGCAACTTTAGAGGATGGTGGGGGAACTGACCAACACAGCAGCCAGGGAAGGAATCTCGGATGAAGTGACTTATAAACTGGCTTAGGAATTTGAGAAGAAGCCAGTCAAGCAAAGAGCCAGCAGAAAAGTGTTCTGGGATAGGGAGCGGTATATGCAGAGGCCTTGAGGTAGGGAACATTTTTGACGTGTTCAAGGAACTGAATAGAGATCATATAAATGAAGTTAAGATCAGTGTAAGTGGAGCATAACAGACAAGGGCAAGAATGATTTGAGATGAAAGAAATTTGAATGTGGACAGGGAACACCAAAGACAAAAGTATGATATTCCCTCATTAGGTTAATGAAATTGAGACCAAAATTAATTGGAACAGATTTGCAACTTTTAAGTCTACCCTAAACTTTAAACAATTACTCTTTCTTTTAGTGTCAGTTTTCTATCAGTTAACTATCCCCAAATGGTTTTCCATCTCCAAATAACAGATATTTACCAAGACTGGTACAGGTAGTAAATAGTGAGTAAACATTCCTTGAGTGATGAATGAATGAATTATATTGTCTTGTGCTCCTCAGGAAGAAGTCTTTAACTACATTCACAATATCTTATCCATTCCTGGACACAGTGCAGAGGAGAAGCAGTCTGTATGGCAGAAAGCAATGGATCACATTGAGGTGCAAATTCAACAAAACTTTTTAAATGTCCTCATTTGTGTGGATATCTCCCAAATTAAGTTTATGCTAACTAAGCAATGGCAGGTGTCATATTATTAAGTTGATATACTTTCAAATTAGCATCTTTTTCAGATAATTTATTCCACCTCATATTTGTATTCATAAAGCCTATGTTATATACAATTTATTACATCATGATTTCTGACAAGAGCCCATGTTCAATCAGCTGGTTGACAAACGGGCATATTAGTGGTTTTTTACAACATTTTTCAAATGATTCTGAGAGTATTCCTGATCTTTTTCTCTAATATAGCCATTCCACCCAATCACCCAGTGGAATTTTAGAAACATTACTGCAATGAGTTTTTCCCTCTGATGTATTTTCCTTCCTTATGTAGCAGGACAATTCTGAATTTGTTTATGCATGCTGTTTTACAAGAATGCAAGGGTTGACGTTGAAACAAAAAGTTCTTTTTAAAAAACATGCCTATAAATGCTTAAATGGAGAGACTAATAATGTGTGATGAACATCTGATCAGAATGCGTTCTGAAAAGGGGCTCACAAATCACTCCTCACTTTAATGCCCTTAGGTTCATAACTTACAATATACCTCAGAAACCAACAGAGCTAGGAGGTTTGTTGAAATGTATTCTTTTTTATGAGTCATTGATTATTGAAAAAAAGGAGTAACAAAAAATGCTGAGGTAATACTAGTTTTGAAAATAATATTTCTATTTACAAAGTGTCTTTCTACTTGTAGCAAGGAACAGATGATGGGGTAACTTCTGGTGATAGGTTAAGAAGTGCAGTAAAAGATATGATTATTCAACATATTTTAAATTTTTTTATACATGTGAAAAATGATTTTAAAAAGACCTGAAATACTGAGAAAACATTATATGTGATGTGAATACTTTGTTCACATCCTGATGGTTGTAAAGTTTAGGAAGATCAGAAATGTGAACACATTTTATGTGAAACATCTGGTGGGAAAGAGATACAGTCAGTCATCAGATGTGTGGTCTGAAGTAATTTCCACACTTTCATCTATAGGATTGGGAACATATATATGTTATTTAATGTTATGATAGTCCTGCTAACAAGATGAATGTATCTTGATGAAAGAACTCAAGAAAACCTTCTCCTACTTTGAGTTATATCTTTTTTCCTTTAATCATTTTGTATTCTTTTTCCTTTCATCATCTCCTTTAAGTCTCCATATTTACATTACAGCTCATTCTTTATTTCACTTAATCTGCATTATGCAGTGGTTTGAGCACATGGACTCCAGACATCCAAAAATGAAGCTATGTCTCTCTGCATAATGTGAAACGTGATGAATTAATCAATGAGCAAACAAATTACTCAGCAGAAAACTCAGACTGGAGAAGCAAGAAGTATTTTTGCTGCACAACAATTATTTCTGCTGACTTTTTCCAACATCTGCACATTTTTCTCACCTTGAACTTCTTAATATCTCTTCAGACCATAGTTACAAATATATAGACTTTTTGTTGAAGGACTTCCGTGGCTTCAGTAATGTAAATAAAATCAACATTAAATATGTAGGGGTAAAAGTCCTCATAATAAAGTTTTCTGAAAGTGCATACAGTGTATAGATTAGTGGTTCTTAACACTTCTGTGATTATAGACCTCTTTTGGAAATCTAGTGAAATATTTGAACCTGTGCATGTGCACAGATGCATAAATTTGTTTATAATTTCAGGGACCCACAGACCCCCTAAAAGCCATTTTTAGATAGAGAGTTCTAAGAAAAGGATAGCCAGTAGTGTCTAGGACAGCTTAAAGAGAGGGCAAATTGGAAGTCTTTGATTTGACAGAAATAGGTTTTTATTAACAGTAGTTACTTAACAGTAGTCCCTCTTAGTCTCATTTAAGACTTATGACCTTAAGTTGATATCTTAAGACACTTACAGTTTCAAAATCTATCAGGCATCGGAAGTAAAGTTTTAGAATTCTTAGCCAGAGAAATTGTGACTATACTCTTTTTCTCATGTCTTCAAATTATTACTTTATGCTCAAGGGTGAAATTCACAGGGAATTTGGGAAGCTTTTGTTCCTTCTTTTCATCCTGCAGATATCATGGCCTAAATCCAGAGTTTAGTGCTTTCATTTTTTAAGAATTCTGAATTACCTTTTATATCACGAGCTGATTTTTTATGTGGCGTGTTTTAAATTTTGCTCATTTACATTGTGCCTTTAAATTGAGCCCCTACATCTAGATCTCCTGAAATACAGTGTAGAAGCTCATGAAAATATTGATCATGCTTCACATCTATGGGAATTCTATTTAAATTAACATTAAAGATTTAACAAAAAGATTTTGTCTTTTTCTTTCACTCTAGGAACTTGTGTCCCTGAAGCCTTGTAAAGCTGCAGAGCTGGTTGCTACTCACTTTTCTGAACAGATTGAAACAGTCATTAAAAAACTACAGGTAAATATTGCAGATATATTGGGAAGAAGCATCTAGTGGAGAGACAATTATTGAATGTCCACCTAAGAACTTTTGATTGTAGTAATTTCTTCAATTAATATTTGCCACGTAATAGTAGTTTCTACACAGTGTGTGTGTTTGTGTGTGTGTGTGTGTGTGTGTGTGTGTGTGTGTATGAGTGTGTGTTGGGGAGTAGTTCTGTGATGACTTCTGAGTCTGGAAATGAGGGAGTTCATCTTTGTGCATAGCAAATATTAATATCACAGAAGATCCTTTCCCTACCAAACCCCAGCCCCCCCGTTTCTTTTGCTATAGGAACTACAGCCTTATTCTCTTTGAGCTTCATGTTATTTATAAAGGCATTTGTCATCTTCAAATGGGGCTTATGCTGACTATATAGAATTTTTCTTGGAAAATCTTACCTAGAATACAGCTATATTAATACTAAATATTGAGGTGCTCATTTTGAAGTATTAGTTAATGGACCTCATATTCCACTTGTCACTACCATGGGAGAGCTAGTAGTGAGTTTTGCTCTCTACCCTGTGGCCACAAGTGATAGAGGTAGGGATAGGACAATGACAGGGATATGAAGCACAACCCAGAGTCCTCAAGTGGCAATGATAGTAGTAACAGATAGGTGTGCAAGATAGAAACCAGAGAAGTGTGTGGGAGGCAGCTGGCAGAACAAAGACAAGAAATTCATTCATTCAGACATTTATTGTGGCCCAGCTGTGTACCACAGTATAGTAGGCCCTGGGAGGCACAAATATGAATACATAACCACACTATGATGTTATAAACGCTACAGCAGACACAACTAAGAAGTGCTGTAGGAACAAGAGCAGTGACAGGCTATGTGAGAAAGTCAGACAAGAGTTCTCGTACATGCCTGACCTGGCTGGGTGTTGAATGATTGGTATAAGTGTTCTAGGCAGAGACTTGGGAGAGGCTTTCTAGATAAAGGGTTCTGTGTATGTAAATACTTGAAATTATGAAGCAACATGCTTATTCAGAGAATGGTCAGGTCTGTGTGAAGCATGATGTGGTGGGGCAATGATAAAAGAAACATTAGATTAAACTATAAAAGGTTTGTTGGAGGGGAGGAGTTAGAAGTGTAGAGGCTGGAAAATAAGAGTTTGGACCCTGATATTAAACAATCTCACATGTAATGCAAAGAAATTCTACTGTATCTTAAATGTACTAAAGTATTACTAAAGTTTTTTAAAGCAAAGGAGTGACATCATTAGATTCATTTTATAGAAAACTAATTCTATAGTGTGAAAAATGGACCAGCAAAGAGTGAAGAGAGGAGAGAGACAAGTTAGACCAGTTAGAAGGCAAAAGATCAGGAAGACCAGGACTAAGTCAGTGGCAGTGGAGAGGATCCATTCAATATATGTTTGTGAGGTAAAATGTATAGGACTCGGAAATTAGTTGAATGTGATGGGAGGAATTAAAAATGACCTCCAGATATCAGGCTAGGTTGTCCAGCAGGATGAGATCCATTAACTTAAGATAAAAACTGTTTATTAATTCAATAAATATTTATGTACCTGCAGAGGGCTGAAAACATTAAGCGCTGAGGATACAAAAATATAAATGTATCCCTGTATTCAAGGAAGAAGACAGATAAGCCAGAAGATGACTGACTGTAGAAGAGTTTCACTTAAATGATGATAGAGCACTGCCCAGGCCACTGAGGAAGTGCATGTAGGGTCATCCAGTCCATCCTAGTGAGGGGAGAATAGGAGGACATTTTTCCTAAAACTACACTAAAACCATGGAGCTTCTTATCCCCTTTAAAAGTCAACAATTCTGGTGAATCTTCTCATCTATAGTGTTGTTATTGTTTAAAATGTAAGATTATCCATCTTACATTGCAGGAGTTTCTTTTTTCTATAATCTCTAAAGATATTTGAAAGGAGAGAGGACAGATAATATGAATATATGCAGTACCATCATTCTGGCAAATATATAAAAGCTGAAGTGTCATGGATTTTTTAAAAAATGGCTATTTGTGGACTGTTTATGGAGTCTTACACATTTCTTTTAAGGAGATGAAGTATTTCTTTTATGGCAGAGCTTTATTGATTGTGCAAGAAAATCCCACACACCTTTTATAAAGTGTCTTTACTTTTGATAACAGGAAGTATGCCTCTGACCTATTGTTTCAGAATTCTTGAAATAATAAATAAGCCAGAATATTAAGTTATAACCAGAAAGAAAGTCATGTAAAGTAAAATAAAATGATAGGCCAGGGAAAAGATAAAAAAATCAAAGACTGATAAATATATTCAAAATATCATATTCTAAATTACAGTCATCCTTTTCAGTTGTGAGAATCCCCTCCTTTTTTTTTTAGAGGGGAAGTTCGAATGTCAGAAAAGAAGAAAGAAAACGAAACTAAAATAATTTTTGCTCAGCTGTCCTCAGAACTTAGAAACATTTATGTTCATATAGTATTCTCTGGTTTATCTCATTTAATTCTCACCTCCACCCTGTGCAGAAGGCAGAGAAGGTATTGCTGCTCTTTTTAAAATTAGTAAACTGAATTGCTAAGAGAGTCAGTGACTTACACAAAGTCACACAGCTAGTAAGTGGAAGAAACAGAACCCCAAATTCATGACATATTAATTGCTAACATGTTGCAGTTTGCCATCTCTTCTGTAGGTGATTTTATTAGGGAGTCAATGAGCTTTTCTGGTGGTTCCCACTTAGATTAACTGTCTCACAGTAGGACATTGTTACAAGAAGGACCAAGTGAGGCAGTGTGAACCCATCAGTACAGCCAGAATTCAGTATCAACAGAGCAATTAAGAGCACCAGCCATTCCAAGCATCGTCATGCTAGAACTGCACTGGGATTTGTCTCACAAGAGGGCTTTTTTTGCTTTTTTTGTAGGGGGTGGGGGGTTGCAATAACAAGGTGTTTATGTTTCTTCTGCACTCAAAATGGAATGTGTGCCAGTGATTAAATTAATTAGAGGAAATGAACTCCAAATGATTCTTTAGAATTTCTTAGATCTGTACAGAGGGCTTAATGGAAATAATCATAGGCATGTGTGCATTTTAAAAGGATATTCTAGAGTCATTCTTTACCATGCCATAGTTTGAAGAATTTGTTTTAATATGTTTTTTATTGTTTTTCTACTCAGAACCAGGTTTTGCTTTTCAAATTTTTGCAGAGTCTTCTTGACCCAAGGTATGTTGATAACTTCAGCTTTTCATAATACATAGATTAGAAATCAAGGAAAATAAGTTGAAGTTAAGAAACTGGCCCATAGTATCCAAATAGTGTGCTCAGCTCTTGATTTTTAATATTAGTGGGAGTAACAGTTACATAGATTATACCCAAATACATAATCTGAAAACAGATTATATCTTGAGGAAATACTTTTCATTTGAGCATGAGCATACATGGTGAGTTAATAAAATAATTCAAACAAAATAATGAAGTCATACCACGAAGACATGTTTCACAAAGGATTTGATAACCAACCAGATTCCTCTTTCTATCCTAGCTTCATGCCTTCTTGTTCCTTGTTCCATACTGAAGATCAATGGCTTTACTTCCCAAAGTGAACCCCTAGTCCCAGCCCATCTAAATGTCTTACCTTTTAAACTCTCATTTGAAGTGTTTAGTTTTAAATAATTTCCTGGCAGTGTAAGAGGGAAAGCTTAGATGTTTTCTTAAGTGCCACTTAGTGGCACTCATCAAATAAAGACTAGCCCAAGGAAATGATGAAATTAGTAATGGATTTGTAAGCAAAGCAGCTCTGCCTGGTAGAGCTTAACATTTTGTGGTGACTAAATGGAGTACGTTGGGAGTTGAGGGTAATAACATTTAACACCCTCTAAGACAGTCACTCTTAACTAAAATCACCTAAGAAACTTAAAAATATATAGCTGCCTGGGCCCTACCCTGCAGAATCACTGAGCAGGGATGTTTTTGATGTACATCTAGAATTAAGTAGCACTGGCTTAAGTGTAATATTCCAGGATGAAACAGCTTTCACATCAGACATACAAACTTTTAAGTTACGTTATAATGTACACTAGCCATTGAAAACAGCCATTTACTTATTTAAGTGATTATAATATCAGTTTCTATTATTCTAGTATTCTGTACTATTTTTAAATATCAAAATACCAGTGATTTTGTTGATTGTAACAATTTTTTTGAAATCTCAATCATTTAAACCTTGAGCAGGCTATGCCACATTTGAATTTAGAGTCATACAGATGTGTGTATGCAGATGTTTAGAAAAGCAATCTGACTGTATTTCCGCACCCCAGTTCAATAGGGACAAAGGAACATTAAGAATAAGTAGACTGGACCTGCCTAGCAGTTTTCCCTGGCAGACAACTTCAGACTATTTTTGCCTCTTATATTTCCCTTTTTGTTTTTCTTAAGCAATAGAATTTTTTTAAACATTCAGTTTTATGTTCCATATGAAGCTCCTATAGAAGCATTCTGGAGAGTAGAGGAAATGAAAGAAACAGTTATTTTGAGGTGGGGATTTCTTATATGTCATATCAGAATATTGGGGGTTTTTTTGTTCTTGCCTCCAAAACCTGAGTGAGTAGGATCATTATTCTTGTATATATAGCTTATGTATATTTGATTGAACATTTACATGTATTCATTGAGTTGTTTTTGAGGGGGTAGCTTTTTATTTTGTCAACAGCATTTTTAAAGGAATAAACCATCTAGTTAAAATTCTTATGTATATTTCTCTGTTTTCTTTATTCAATTTTAAAGTTATCTTTGCTATGTAAATAGTGTCCTCAGTAGAATTAATTGACCTACAAAGATATTGGTGGCATCTGTATATAGAAAGATGAGATAGTTTGGAGGGGAAGAGGTGGGGGTTAATCCTCCAGAAGCAAATTATTTGCCTGAATTGAGGCCGGAGCTTGGGAGAGACGGGATTTGCATCCCCTTCAAATTCCCTCCGTGGGACAGCTGCTGCCTGAAGCCCGCCTACCCCCACTCCCGCTCCCTGCGTGCATTCCTGCTGGCTGCGAGTTCTCACAGGAATTCTGATATATTTACGCCCAGATGCAGGTCTGTCTTTTGTGCAGTGGGGATGCTTGAAGGGTAATTCGAAAGGACACTAATGGTTTTTATGAGGCTATAAGTGTCATAAGAAATAAAGAGAATGTGCAAGTATATTGATATTCGCAGTATTTTCCTCAGTGTGATTTTCTTGGTAATGTCAACTTAGCCTTTGTTAACAATGTCCTGGAGGCCTCTGAAATATATGGTATGATTTTCTCATAGAAAAATACATATAGAATGTTGGATTATATTTCTAAGTCTTTAGTCAAAATAAAGTAAAAATTGAACATTGCTAAGGGTTTGAGTGTCTTTGCCAAGGAGCAAAACAGAGATTATGGAAATAGTTATACATTAGATTTAAGTTGAATTTGTCAGTGTTTCTATGTGTAATTTTGAAGGGACATTTTAAGATACTGACAGTGTTGAAACAGCATATTTCTAAGTTAAAATAAAAAATTAAAACACTGTATATGTTAATGAACTTTGACTTATAAAAACACATTTCTGCTTTAATGAATGCCTATCAACTTGGTCAGGCTGACCACCAGATACTGTATCTTTGGTTAGCATTTTGCCAGCAGCTCAAATTCAACCTTTTAAATTCTATTGCATCATTCTAATGCATGGCCGGGCATGGCTCAGCAGTTGAGCATCAACCTAGGATCCAGGAGATCGCAGTTAGATTCTGGGTCAGGACACATGCCCGGGTTGCAGGCTTGAACCCTAGTCGGGGGCATGTAGGAGGTAGCCCATCAATGACTCTCTCTCATCCTTGATATTTCTATCTCTTCCTCTCCCTCTCTCCCTTCCTCTCTCTGAAATCAATAAAGATATATTAAAAGAAAAAATTAAAAAATTTGAATGCATCATCATCATCTCCTAATCTCCAGACCTGATACATAGATAGGTAGGTAGGTAGGTAGATAAATAGATAGATACAGGTAGATAGATAGAAAATGCTCTCATGCATTTCATTTCTTTATTCAATAATTCTTTATCATGAGATTATTATCTGCTAAGTACTGTGTGAGAGTTTGAAATGGCTCAAAATTATACTTACCTTTAAATCTAAACCTATTTATTCTTTATTTTCTCTCTTAGCAAATGGCATTATCTGCCCATTTATTTCATTTAACAATTTACTGAGTGAGTACAGCACACTAAGCACTGTGACAGTGACAGGAGATAAAATGATGAATAAGATGGGGCCTGCCTTCATAAAATTTCCATTCTGATGGATGAAGTAGACAAGTAAGCAGGCAGTTTTAGTATAAGTCTCTTACACTGAGTGATGAATTTTTCACTTACCCACTCCACTCCACCTTCCCAGCCACACCACAGAGAACCAGTCAGTCATAAAAAATCTACCTTCTGGCTATCTCTTCTGTGTGAGCCCTCCTCTTGTCTACCCACACTACCCTGGTTCGGGCACTCGGCATCTCTCTCTCCTGGTCTCTCTTGCTGGTCACCTAACCAGCCATCCTAATTCTACTTCCACTTTCAAACAGACAAATAATGATAACGTCTCCTTTCACCTTCTCACAGTTCTTTCAGTTCCCATTATTCAAGGTAAAATTCAAAGTCCTCTTGGTGTACAGGCCCTCTTGATCTGATTCAGGCATATGCAGCTTTATTTTCTCATTCTGACTTCTCTCTTTCCTCCTTTATTCTGCAGCAGTATTGAACTAATTGTTCATAGAATACACTACACATCATCATTCCTCCCTTTGAATATGTGTTCCTCCCTCTTAGTCCACTTTGTTTCTTGAAGAGCAATTTACCTATATATATTAAGAGCTCAAAAGTTACACATATGCTTTGATCCAGTGATTTCATTTTGGAAAATATATGTTTTAAGGAAATACTGTGAAAGAAAAAGTAGTTATATTCAGATACTCATATTAGCATTTATATAGTAAAAAGGCTATTTTAAAAAGTGGATGGGGAAGATGGCTAAATAAACACTAAGGTATAGGAGCACAATTGAATACCAAATTGCAAACATGGGTATATAAATGTAAAAATAATTCTAAACTGAAAAAATACATAACATTAAGTAGTATGCACTGTTGGGGAGGAAGAAATTTTCCTCTACCCTCCTAAGGTCTTTTGGCTGGTCTACTAATTAAATGTACATGAGACAGATTAACAAGAGAAAATAACCAAATTTAATTTTTTATGTGCGTATGGGAACCCTACATACATGAGAGTCAGAGATCCTACATGCATGAGAGGTTTGAGACAGATAGGTGAGATGAGGTATATATGACATCATGAGCTAAGGAATGAGGTAAGGTAACTGGGGCTTCAGACAGGAGGAAGTAATTCACAGGATGTTAAGAAGAGCAGATGTTCAATAATTTGATGTTTGCCCTGCCATATAAATTAGGTAATCGCTCCTATGTGGACAAGGCTCCACTTTAAATTCTTTAAGGCAGGGGTGGGGAACCTTTTTTCTGCCAAGGGCCATTTGGATATTTATAACATCATTCATGGGCCATACAAAATTATAAACTTAAAAATAAGCTATGGCCTGGCCAGCGTGGCTCAGTAGTTGAGTGTTGACCTATGAATCAGGAGGTCAAGGTTTGATTCCGGGTGGGACATGTGCCCAGGTTTCAAGCCCTACGCCCAGTAGGGAGCATGCAAGAAGCAGCCAAGCAATGACTCTCTCTCATCATTGATGTTTCTATCTCTCTCTCCCTCTCCCTTCCTCTCTCTGAAATTAATTTGAAAAAACACAAAGAAACCTTTTTAAAAATTAGCTATGAAAAAAGCTCCTAGATTTGTTGAATTTCGAGTCCTGCCTGCAATTGCCTTGGCAGGGCCAGACCAAATGATTTTGAGGGCTGTATACGGCCCGCAGGCAGGACATTCCCCACTCCTGCTTTAGAGGAAAGGTAAAAATCAGGGTCTCGATTGCCTTCAGCTCAAAATAATCTACATGCCAAAGTAGTATGTCTTGGGGAGGCCTGTTATTAACCCCTTCAACTCCCAAGTATGTATGTGTGTGATTGAATGATAGTAAGAGAATATGGAGAGATGTAGATAGCTTAATGTTTACTATATTCAAAAATTCAACTGAGTAAATTTAAAGACCTAATTGGCTTTCCTGAATGATTTTGAGTCAGGAGCATCCCATCCAGTAAAGAGAGAGGTGCTCCATGACGTTGTACAAAACGGAAGGTTTTTATTGGCATAAACTGGGTGGGACAAGGACAAGAAAGGAATCAGCAAAAGAAAGGAAAGGATTCGCTCAGGCCAGGGCAGCTTTCTTTAAGTGAGGACTTACTGTTTTCTGTAAAGAGAAGCCGCACTCTTTTCCTAGTAAGAGGCTTCAGTTACAGGAGGAATTATATTCAGATGCGGGAAGTCTTCCCCAAATTAAGAGCTTTGTGACACCCAGTCCTGACCAGAAGCAGGGTGATGAACTCAGTAAATTCTGCTGCTTGGGGCTCTCTGTACTTGCTAATGGACTAATTCAGTATCTTCTCCAGTCGGCAGAAATCCCAAAAATGAAGTTTTCTTTCTTTTTTTGTATTTCACAACTGCCTTTAATGCAGGGGTTTAAGTGAATGGCTGTTCCCTGTGTAGACCACCACCTTAGTGTTCTTACCATGTAACTGGAAATTATCTGTTATGTGTCTGCGGCCAACTACGCTATAAACTTTGAGAGAAAAGACTGTTGCATTCATCGTTGTTTACCCAGCATTAGCATAACCTTGGCACATAATAAATAAATTGAACCTAACTGACTGGAAATAGTAAATTGGACTGCCTTCAAATGGAGGGAAACCAAATATAGAACAGAAGAGTGAAAAATCACAAGGACTAGGGCAACAAAGCCAGATATGGCTCAGAATAAATCCTGTCAGAAAGATCTACGTGAAGAAAACAGATGCCCACGATAAACCCAGGGAAATTATGGTTCTCTAGATAGGATAAAGGTTGTGTAGCAGTGAGTACTGTTAGGTAAGAGAGAAAAGGGAATGCTAACCAACGTTTCTGGACGTGAAGGGAGCCAGTGTACTTTTCAGATGTTTACACCATATTGTAGGTGGTGGTAATATTTTATCTACATCATACTTCTGTTAATGTGTCTTATAAATGCATGACTATGAAGCAGATTAAAATTAGGCATAAGCATCTGCTGATGAATCACAGTATTTAATTATTTCCAGACATTTATTGGCAAAACCCTTTACAAGTACTGAAAATGTAAATATGCGTCAAACCAAGCAAATCACCCAAGTGAGCAGATTTTGATGCATCCATTTGTGAGGGAAATAAGTGTGTCTGCCGGGAAATGATTAGGCAGCATCAACATAATCAAAACGTTAATAAGTAAACAGTAGCGTTGACTGTTGCTTATCAGTCCTGCTCATAAATACAACTTGTTTTATCCATTTCTCAAAGCTCTTTTTATTAGTCACCTGTTAGCTACCTGCTTTGCCATATACCTACTGCTAACTTTTATGGCTGTCAAAATTAGCATAGTCTTGGCACATAAGTGGATGCTCAGTAAAAATACACTGTTGTAGGCTTTGAAAATTCATTAGTGAGAAGATAACTCAATAGCTACTCTTGCAGAATTTATAGTCTTTTAGAGAAGACAGATAATTAAAGAAGTAATTACAGCCCAGCTGGCATAGCTTAGCTGTTGAGCATCACCTAGAATCCAGGAGTTCCTGGTTCGATTCTCGGTCAGGGCACACACCCAGGTTACAGGCTTGATCCCCAGTGGGGAGCATGCAGGAGGCAGCCATTCAGTGACTCTCTCATCATTGATGTTTCTATCTCTCTTTCACTATTCCTCTCTCTGAAATCAGTAAAGATTTATTTGGGGGAAAAAGAGAGTAATTACAACATGATGTGATTGGTGCTATGAGGGAAGCATGGTAGAGAACAGAAGATGGTTTATAGTTACTCGTGAGTCAAATTGTTTAAACTGAATTGGGTCATCTGTTTCTTTTAGAGCAATAGTATAACTTTCATTATGATTTATTAGCGCCTCCACTGAATATCATTTCCTTAATTATTCAGTGTAAACTGAGCAGTATTGTGATTTAGATGCCTCTGATGAATATACAGTTCACCTAATAATCTAAGTAACAGTGAGATTTTTTTTTTCTTTTTCTCTTTTTAATCCTCACCTGTGGATATTTTTTTTCCATTGCTTTTCAGAGAGAGTGGAAGAGAGAGAGAGAGAGAGAGAGAGAGAAACATCAATGTGAGAGAGAGACACATTGATTGGTTGCTTCCAGGGATTGAGCCTGCAACCAAGGTACGGCACATATCGAACCTGGGACCCTTTAGTCCAAGGGTTGATACTCTAACCACTGAGCCAAACCCTCTAGGACAACAGTGAGATTTAAAAATATATATATGTGTGTATCAATAAAGATACACGTATATATATATATACATGTATCTTTATTGATTTCAGAGAGGAAGGGAGAGGGAGAAAGATAGAAACACCAATGATGGGACAGTTATTGATCGGCTGCCTCCTGCACACCCCTGACTGGGATCAAGCCCGCAACCCAGGCATGTGCCCTGACCAGGAATCAAACTGCGATCTCCTGGATCCTAGGTTGATGCTCAACCACTGAGCCACGCCTGGCCAAGGAGAGATTTTTAATTCGTGATTTTACCTGACCAAAAGGTAGTCTTGGTTTTAAGATACCACACTTTTTACCTGTAGCTTTAATTATAGATGTGATTAAGTGATGCTACTCTTTTGCTTTTTATGTTTTCAGGGAAGGTGTTCATGTAAATCAAGAGTTGCTGCAGCTATCTCCCTGTATTACAGAGCAGTTCATTGAGCTGTTGTGTCAGTTCAGCCCAAACCAGGTCATAGAGACATTGCAAGTCCTTGAGGGCTACCGCCTAGAAGAAACTATCCAGGTAGGACCAATAATGGAGAGAAAACAAGAGTATACTTTTCCTAATCATTCACCATTTTACAGATGAGCAAAGGGAGACTCATATATTAAATAACTTGCCTAAGGTCATACCTAGTAAGTGGTAGCACCTGAGATTGAACCTAGATCGTCTGATCCACAGTGCATGCTTTTCATTGCTGTGAACCTGGGTGTATGCCCTGACTGGGAATCAAACCCGCCACCTTGGTGTACTGGATGACACTCCAACCAACTGAGCCACACTGGCCAGGGCTATGGCACATCTTTTAACTTGGTTTTTAGTGACTTTTTAATTTATCAGTCTTTTCCTTTAACCTTTAATTTTTTGTGTACCAGTCTTATTTTCTTTTGACTTTGATGGCATAAAGAATATCGTTTTTTATGAGTTTTATAGGTTAGCTTTTTACATTTAGGCTTTTAATCCATATGGAATTTACTTTTGTAAACAGATCAAGAGAGGGATTTTTTTTTTTTTTTTTTCACATGGATGGCTAATGGTCTGTGTGGCATTTTATTGTCCTTTCCTCGCTGATTTATGATGCCATCCTGTCCTAACCAGACTTCCAAATGCACGTGGACCTGTTTGTGGACCGTCCTATTGGTAATGCGTCCTTTTGTGTACCTTACCATGTATTTCATTAACATCAGTTTAGAATAAAGCTTCTTATTTGAGAGAAGAGTCTTCCCTCCTCATTCTGTTTCTTTAAAATTCTTCAACTGCTCTTGGCCTCTTACTGTCCCACATCAGTTTAAGAGTCAGATTGTCACGTTCCTTTAAAAAACATTCTTCTGGAATTTTCATGAAAAAAATACATTGAATTTATAGACTAATTCAGGGAAGATTGACATTTTATAGTATTGCCTTCATGTTCAGAAACATGGTTATCTTTTTAAAATGTTTATGCTCTTTGATATATATAACTTTATGTATTTTTTACATAAGGTTCTTGCACATATTTTCTTAAATTTGTTCCTAGGTACTTATACTTTTATTAACATTTTAAAAGGAAATTTTTGAAATGATATTTTTTATTGATTATTGCTGCTGATTATTGATTATGTTATTAATTTTTGTACATTTTTTTTTATCTGGCAGCCAGTCTGAATTCTTTTTCTATCCAATAGTTTTTAGATTTTTTTATGACAATAATATTTTCTAGGCATAATGGCAGATGTTTTTTTTCTTTCCAATCTTATACTTTTTTCTTTCTCTTATCAGATGTCTAGGAGCCCCAGGATATTTTGAATAGAAGCAGTGATAGTATGCCCTCTTGTTCCTGATTTAAAAGGGAATGTGTCTAACATTTTACATTAAATACAGTGTTTATTGTAAGATTTTGATAGATAACTTTTAATAAGTTAAGAAAGTTCTGTTCCCAGTATAGGTAAGGGTGTTCTGTATTGTTTTGTTTTTGTCAAGAATGGTGCTGCATTTTATCAAACAATTTTTCTGCATTTATTGAGATGATCACATTGTTTTCCTTTGATCTATTAACCTGTTAATGTTATTTGTGTCTTTCTTTTTTCTTACTCCTAAGAAAGTTTTATTCTACTTTATAAGTCTTTTCAAAGAATAATTTGGGATTTGTTAAATCTCTCTTATTTCTATTGTTTCTATGGCATTATTTTCTTTTATTTAAGCTTAATTGGTTTGTTTATTTTTACTGATCAGAAACTCTTACATTATTAATTTTTATTTAGAGCACACAAGTTGATATGTAGTGTATTCATTGTCATTTTATTCTAAATATACTGTATATAATTATCCCCATCAATTTCTCATTTATATTATCACTATGTAATAATATAATATGTGTTTCCTTTTCTCCAGTGGATATACTTCATTCATGTGTGTAACGATTTTTTAAATAAGTGAAAAAAAAATGAATTCACTTAGTCAGAATCTAAAATAGGGCACTGTAAGATCAAAAGTCAGTATTTGCATATTATACTGTAAAAGTAGCATACTACCAAGGTATGAATTCATCATTTATTATCACGCTGGTTCTTTTCCATCCTTAATAGGACCTTCTCAAACAAGACTTATGAACAGAAAACTTTATCTTTTCTTCTTTCCTAGATTACCCAGAAGTATCAACTTCATGAAGTCACTGCCTATCTATTAGAAAAGAAAGGAGATATTCATGGTGCCTTCTTAATAATGCTAAAGGTAACATTTTACTATGTTTGCTTTTTCATGCTTCTATCTATCCCTGCATTCATTAGTCTATCGCTCTTTTGAAACATAATTGGCATATAACATTGTATAAGTTTTCATCAACCCATCTTAATTTCTTATGTTTCAAAGTAAGTTTCAGGCAATAGTACATTTTACCTCAGCATTTTATCATGAATGTCACTGACTAGAGTTCAGTATTTCCTTGTGGTACTTTTTAAGGGTAAAATTTACATACCATGAAATGCACAAGTCTTAAAAGTACCATTTGTTGAGTTTTGACAAATGCATACAACCGTATAACCCTAGTCCCTAACAAGATAGAGAACGTTACCTTCACCCCAGAAAGTTCCCTCATGCTTCTTTGCAGTCAGTTCCTACTCCCATTCCCCCAAATATAACCACTCTTCTGATTTTTCCGCCCACCATGGATTAGTTTTGCCTTTTTTATTTATTCATATTTATATTAATGGAATCATTCAATAGTTTTTCTTATATAATTCCTCTTGTAGTCAGCAAATGCTTTTGAGATTTATCTCTACTATTGGATGTATAAGTAGTTTGTCCATTTGATTGCTGAGTAGTACATAACTGTATGAATGTACCACAGTTTGTTCATTCTTCTATTGATTGACACCTGGGCTAGTTCTAGCCTTTTGCTATTATGAATAAAGCTGCTCTCATCACTCTTGTACACAAATGTTTTCATTTCCCTGAAGTGAGTACCAAGGAGTGTGCTGGGTCACTGGATAGGTATAGGGTTAGATTTATAAGAAATTATCAGACCTCTTTCCAAAGTGGACCATTTTTAGCATTTTATGTCCTATCAATAATGTACGAGTGTTTTGATGCTCCACATTCTCACCAACAGTTTGGTGGTCTATCAATTTTGGGGGGAAAGTTCTTTTTATTCTTTTAATTGTTGTAACATATACATAACATGATATTTACAATTTTAGCTGCAATAAGTATATTTATATTGCTGCGCAGCCATCACCACCATCCATCTCCAGAATTTTTTCATCTTCTCACAAAACCATTAGATAATTCCTCCCCATTCCTCTCTAGCCTCTGAAAACCACCATTCCACTTTTAAATTCTATGAATTTGATTACTCTAGGTACTTCTTATAAGTGGAATCATACAGTATTTATCCTGTTGGGTCTAGCTTATTGCACTTAGCATAACGTCTTCAAGTTATTTACACTTAGCACAGTGCCTCGAGGGCCTGAGCTCTGTGTAGCAGTGGTGGTGCAAAGAGAAGAGGGTGTGAATTTGAGAACCTACTGATCATTTAAATACAATATAGGGTGATTGAGAGAGAATGGTTAATGATGATTCTATGATTTTTCGCTTAACATTAAGCTATAAGGGACCTCAATAAAAGGAGCAGATTTTTGGTAGAAGGGACATATTAAAGTCAGCTTCAGTGTATATGCAGAAGCCTTTGCAATATCAGTATCTGAGGATCTAAAATTCAGTAGAATTCAGTAGAGCAGTGGATACTACAACTGCATAATCAAGGCTGTGGCCCATGCTATGGGGATAGATTTCTCATGTCCTTTTTTATTCCCACTCACCCCTTTTTCTCATAATCCAGTATGAATTTTATTCTCTTATCCAAAGCATGGATAAGTTTTAATCCTCATTGCGCTGCCTCAGGAATGTCAATGATGACTATGTGGATAGCACAACAGAAGCAGAAGTGGAGCAGAATAAATGATATTTCGGGTACCTTCCAATACTGTTAGCTATGCTTTCTATATACACCAGAATTCTTTTCTGAATGACAAGGACCATTTTTAATAACTTCATTGTTTCTTGGATTTTTCCTATAAAGATGTCAATTTAATTATTTGGTGGATTAGAAATTAAAGTGTTCCTTTTACCTCCTAGAGACTACAAAGCAAACTTCAAGAGATAACTCACCAAGGTAAGTAAGTTTTTGAGTGTCATTTTCAATTTTTTATTTACTCCATATTTTTAAAGATGTTATCTAATAAACTGCATTTATTAAGTAATAAATTTATTAAGTACGTTCTGCATAATCACTGTTTATGCATTTTAACATTGGTCCCAATTTTAACTTCTTTTTAAGGGCTCATAATAAGAAAGCATGTAAACCATGTGGCTTTGTGATGCTAATTGCCAGTGGAGTTCAGTGTACAGAAAAGTAGGCACTCTTCACTGGTATTGATTTTTTGCTTACATTTCTGTACTTATGATTTGGTTATTATAAATGAGGTACATAACTAATGTCTTAAAAATTACTATAATATACTGAATAACAGCAAGGCAGAGATCTTCTAACCAGTGTTTCTGTACTGAATTTATGTGATTTTGGCACCAAGCAGTAAAACCTGACAGTTTAGCATCTTGATTGGCTTTGTCACAGATGATATATAATTATCATTATATTTCTTGATATTGAAATTATTTTTTTAAATTGTGGTAAAATATGCTAACATAAAATTCACCATTTTAATCATTTTTAAGTATACAATGCAGTGACATTAAGTACATTTACATTGTTTGCTATCATCACTACCATCCATCTCTAGAATTTTTCAACTTCTACACTGAAACTCTATACCCATTAGAAAGTTACTCCCCATTTCCCCCTCCCCACTCAGCCCCCCAGCAACCACTACTCTGCTTTTTTACTCTGAATTTGATTACTCTAGGTATCTCATATAAGTGGAGTCATATGCTATTTATCCTTTTGGGTCTAAGTTAGTACATTTAACATAATGTCTTCAAGATTTATCTATGTTGTAGCACATGTCAGAATTCCATTCCTTCTAAAGTCTGAATAATATTCCATTTTTTATATCTACTACATTTTGAATTCATTCATCGATCAGTAGACAATTGAGTTGCTTCCACTTTTGACTATTGTGAATAGTGCTGCTATGAACATGGGTGTGCTAGTATCCTTTTACATCCCTGCTTTCCTATCTTCTGGTATAAACCCAGAAGTAGGATTGCTAGATTAAATGGTAATTCTATTTTTAATTTTTTGAGGAGCCCCCATAGTGTGTTTTATAGTGACTATATTACTTTACATTTCCACCAACAATGCACAAGGGTTTCAACTTCTCCAAATCCTCACCAACAATTGTTATTTTCTGTTTACTTAATGATAGTCATCCTAATGAGTGTGAGGTAGTATCTCATTGTGGTTTCTGTTTTTTGTTTTTTTTCCAATTTATCTTTATTATTGAAAGTATTACAGGTGTCCCATTTTTCCCCCCAATTGACCTCCTCCACCTCGCTCCCACCCCCTCCCCAGGCCTTCACCCCGTTATTGACTGGGTTATGCATATGTGTATATATATATGACTTATTCGGTTAATCTCTTCCACCCTTCACCTCCCTTCCCTCTTTCCTCTGAAATATGATTGTCTGTTGCATGCGTCAATGTCTCTGGATCTATTTAGTTCATCCGATTCTTTTGTTCATTAGCTTCTTCTTAAAGAAGACCCTTCAACATTTCCTGTAGTGCTGGTCTGGTGGTGATGAACTCCTTTAGCTTTTTCTTATCTGTGAAGCTCTTTATCTGACCTTCAATTCTAAATGATAGCTTTGCTGGGTAGAGCAATCTTGGTTGTAGTTCCATGTTTTTCATCACTTTGAATATTTCTTGCCACTCCCTTCTGGCCTGCAAAGTTTCTGTTGAGAAATCAGCTGACAGTCGTATGGGTGCTCCCTTGTAGGTAACTAACTGCTTTTCTCTTGCTGCTTTTAAGATTCTCTCTTTGACTTTAACCTTTGGCATTTTAATTATGATGTGTCTTGCTGTGGGCCTCTTTGGGTTCCTCTTGTTTGGGACCTTCTGTGCTTCCTGGACTTGTAAGTCTATTTCTTTCCCCAGGTAGGGGAAGTTTTCTGTAATTATTTTTTCAAATAGGTTTTCAATTTCTTGCTCTCTTTCTTCTCCTTCTTGCACCCCAATAATA